TGGCTTCAATGACTGGATGATCAGAACTCAACTAGAAGAAGAAAGAAGAGGAAAAAAAGAATAATCTGATACAATTTGATGAACTTGACCTACACCTATGGATGCAGTAAGTTCAAAAGAGGGAACAAAGCTTTACAGCGAGGATCATTCCCACCCTTCCATATACAGAGTAGACAAGGATGGGCAACTTGGACATTGGCTACCCAAAATGGGGAGGGGGGGCGCCTACAAAGGCAAGAAGTGACTGGCTTACAAGCTTTTAAGAGGAAGCCTAGATCCAGAGGGCCTGGAGAAAGATAGAATCTCCACTGAGTAGTATCCAATCTGTCTGGGCGGGGCTGATGAAAGGAGATGGGGATAGGTCTCTTGTGATACAACAGTGAATAATTGTTATAAGGACTTGACTGTGAGGGTTGAAAATATAAAGGTAGATGTTTTATAGCAAAAGGAAGGGAGTGTTTGACTTTACAGTCCAGAAGTGGAGGTCCCTGGGACCATCAAGGGAGATGAGTGGAGTGCAGGACCCTACCCAGAGAAATAGTGATGCCAGAGATCAAGACAGAGATGATGATGTGGAGAGATGTAGCGGCTGGGAACTCTAGACCCAGAGAGGGAGAGAGGCTGTGTGCTGATGACCAGAGGACAGGCTTGCAGGGTAGACCCTTTGGTTGGTTTGGTTGCATGGAAGGGATTGTAACCATGGCAATGAAACGATATACGATAGGATGAATGAAAAACTAATGTTCTCCCATGTAAACTATCACATAATTCACAATAAAACATTAAAAAAAAAAAGTGAATGGAATTTTTTCACAAACTTTTTGAAGGCCCCTCATGTTAGACATTCTCAATATATCCAGTATTTATCCTAGATTCTTTTCTATAGTTTCTAAACTTGTCTCTCTGGGCTTCAGTCTTGGTATTCAATTCTGATCCCTCTTCCATCTCACTACTTCATCTTGATTTATGTCTAATCTTACTAAGAGCCTATCAACTAAGTTCTTAATTAAACTCTAAAATTTTCATTTTAAAATTAATTTTCAGTTCTTTGCCCAAATTATCAATCTTGTCAATTTATTTCTTGAGTATGTGAAGTCATTTTAAAGTCTGGTGGCTCTAATACCTGATTCCCTATGGGTCTGTTTCTAATGTCACTTGTGTTTTTTTGATTTAGAGTCACATCTTGTTTTATGTGCCTGGTTATTTCTGATTGGAAACTGGACATTGTACATGAAAAATTCTAGAGATAATTTGAGGTGCTAGATGATTTTTGTCTGTTCCTATACAAAGGGTTTTTTTATGGAGCTCTGGTAGCGTAGTGGTTACGAATCGGGCTGCGAACCTTAAGGTCAGCGGTTCGAAACTACCAGCCGCTCCGCGGGAGAAAGATGAGGCTTTCTACTCCCGTAAAGATTTACACCCTCGGAAATCCTGTACAGGGTCGCTATGGGTCGGAACCGACTCGACGGCACTTAACAACAACAACAACAACACAAAGGGTTTACTTGTGTTTCTAGAAGGAAGTTAGACTAAGAGCATTAGCAATCTCATATCAATCTTAATATTCAGAGTTTTAAATGATCTGAAGCTAGAGTTCAATTTCTGTGAAGGTTGGTTTACACCTTTCTTCTAGGATTTGGCCCTCTGAGGTCCCAATCAAAATCCTCGAACAACACCTGACTCCATCTTTTTTTATTAACCTCCATACCTTCAAATACTCCCCTTCTGGCATTTATACAAACCTCTTAAGTGATGAGTATCACCAGCAGCTCTCTGTACTTTTCTTCTTTGTGGATTCTGATCCCATAATGCCTTGGTAGTCTCCTGGTCCTTAAAACAGTTTTTTGTTTTTTGGATGTGGGGGGATATCAAGTTTTTCTAGGTGTTTTCAGCAGGCAGGTGGATCTGAACAACCCATTTCACTATTGCTGAAAGCTAAATTCCTGTACTACTACTTTATTTCCTATTTGATCTCAAGCTGCCCATTATACAAAGGGTTTTCCAAAAATTTCATTCTCTTTCCATTCCATTTTGCATGAACTTTTTGAAGCCCACTTATGTCAAGTCTATACTACTTTGTATGGATTTAAGTGCCCTCTCTACAGTGTCTGGAATTGTAGGATAAGCACTGGGCTGCTAACCTCAAGCTTGGTAGTTCAAATCTACCAGTCACTCCTCAGAAACCCTATACAGTGTTGCTGAGTTGTCACCAACTCAATGGCACTTAACAAGAACAGCAGCAACATAGTATTGCCATCCTGATCGCCCAAATTAGAATGTAGCCAGTGGGCTTGGAGAGGTTTATCTTCAAATTGTGCTTTTACTTTTACTTCATTACATGACATGGGCAAGTTGGTGGTGGTGACAGTTGTGTGCCATGCAGTTCTCACTCATAGCAACCCTGTATATGATTTCCATGTAAATCTTCATGGGAGCAGAAAGCTCCATCTTTTTCCCACAGAAAACTGCTGACCTTGAGGTTAGCAGTTGGTCAAGTTATATAGGAAATATATATATATATCTTACTAACTTCCTATTTATAAGACTTTTTTATATATGTAAGACTTTTACTCTACTAGTAAAAGTTTTTCATCTACTAGTAAAAGTCATATATATATCTTATAAATATAAAGACTAGTAAAAGTCTTAAGACGTGCTTTACAGGGTCATTGAAATAAAATAAAGTGGGTAAAGTTTTTTAGCATAATTTCTAGCATACAGTAGTATCAACTAGCCGTTATTGAGCATTATTATCAATTTTACTTCAACTAAAATGAGCAAATAATTCATCCTATGCTAGAATCCAATCCATTTCTTCACTGTATACTGATTTTCGCCTCCACAGTTTGCTCACACTATCCACCCCCCCCTCAGTTCTCCCTTTACCTAATGTAATTGAACCCATCCTTTAAGGCACAAAGTTTGACTTGCCCCAGTGGTGCTCTAGGATAAGCACTAGACTGCTCATTGCAAGGCTGGCAGTTTAAACCCACCAGTCGCTCTGTAGAAGAAAGATGAAGCTTTCTGTTTCCATATGGATTTACCATCCTGGAAACACTATAAAGGGTTGCTGTGAATTTGAATAGACTCTATAGCAACGGGCTGAGTTTGGTTTGATTTGATGACAGGTCTCAAAAATTCAAAATCCATACTTAACCTGTATAAGCACTAAAAATCACATTAACACTTAGCAGAACACAATTTATCAACTATTCCCTAATTTTGTGTTAGTTCTCTTTGAAAATTAGCTTATAAAGGACATAGCACCAAATACATGAGATTCTCAAAACATACATTTGGGACTCAGTATAGAAAAATGTCATTCAAATCCCATAATTATGATGGTGGTGGTGGTGGTAGTGTGTCCTAGAGTTGATTCTGACTCATAGCCCCCTACATAGCCTGGTTTCCCAGGCTATAAATCTTCACTGGAGCACAAAGTCCCATCTTTCTCCCATGGAGTGACTGGTAGATTCGAACTGCTGACCAGCAGTTAGCAGCCCAGCTCATAATCCACTTAGCTACCACCCATAGATAGAGTTTGAAGTAAAAACACAAAGAATGGGAGAGGAGTGCAGAAAACACAGGTAAAAGAAAAGGAGATGAGTAAATAAACACATCACAGAAAGTTTTGCTAGTAAAACATTTACTTAACTCCTTCAGTTTAAGCATAACTCCAACTAACCTAGTTGAATTATTTTAAAATGACAAGTCAAAGTCCCAAGATGCACTTTTACAATTCAAAGTTCAGAGTTTAACAGAAACTCCCTGATTTCCTTGAATAGGTCTTTCTCCTTTACCCAGAAAAACAAAAGCAAAAGCCAAAACGCTAGCAAATTCAAGAAGCTAGCCAACATTGATCTGTTAAGGAACACACTCGTAAATACTAATCATTAAAATTAAAACACTAATCATTAAAATTTTAATAGTCTACACTTTACTTATATTCAAAATGAGCTGCTCGTGAAAAAAATTTAAGATTTAATAGATACACTTGTGGAGAATAGAATCTTTGGTTTATCTTTGAATATAATGTAAATGACTTACTGCTTTAAAAAATATTTAAAAACCTTAATAAAGGTTATTTCCAAATAATTTAGACTACTCTTGCAATGTATCTCTTTAAGTATATTTTCTGCTTTAATATGCTTTTCTTCTGATCAATAAATAGTAAAGTAAATCATCCTGTATCTGACAATTTCTAGCTTAATTTCCCCACCCTATACCCTGTTATCTTATTGATGTTTTTTAAAAATTATGCTTTGCTATTCCAGACAGAAAGAAGCTTTGAGTGATTTTAGTTTTCTCATCAGCAAGTACCCATGTTACGAATCTGCCAAACTGTATCCAGGGTCATGTACATTTAATAAGATGTGACATCCTTGAGATTTGAGTCAGTCGGGTTCCAACCCATAGCGACCCTGTAGAGGGTTTCAAAGGAGCGGCTAGTGAGTTTCAAACGCTGACCTTATGGTTCAAACCAAATTTGCAGTCCAGTGCATTAACAACCCACAGCGTCACACCAGGACTCCTTAAATTTGTAGTAGGAGCAGCTAAAAATCTGAGATTTCATTTGCATAGCTCCAGAAGTGCATTCAAATTCCTAGGTAGGAAGAACAAGCACTTGGTAGATGACTGTAAATACATATCATTTTGATTTGGGGTGGGGGTGGTAGAGGGAGGGAGGTAAGATCGCTTTTGGATGTCAGAAACAGCAGGGACCATAAAACAATTCTGGCAACATTCATTCATTTGTATAATACAAATAATCAGGAAAAAGTGAGAGCACAGGAGAGTTAACTCAATAGGAACACATACATGTATGATCTGAAAATGAGAAATATCTAACACCTAATTTTGTAGAGGGATCTTCTGCCCATCTCATCAGATTGTAAGAAACATGACTGCATGAATTTTTTGAATGGGATATTTTAGAATAACAACATTGGCAAGTAGAGAACAAAGCTACTTTTGACAGACATGCACGCCAGTTTACTTACCCACAGCGTTGTAGAGAGGTTCTCCAGTTAACTTGTCCCAGACGACGGTGGTTTCCCTCTGATTGCTGACACCGATAGCTTTAAGGAGAAGATTAAACAGAAGGGAGTGGAAAATAAGCAAGTAGAAAACTACGTTAGGTAAATAGCTTTTTTGTTTTGTTTTATTAAACAAGCGTTACCAAACCCATTTAGAACATTTGGAGTGGTTCTTTAAATGGCCCAGGAAAAAGTGAACGCTCCATGCAAAAAGTGTTCATATTCCCTCTTCATTACCAGCACACAATCATGGATACCCAGATTAAGGATCCCAGGTTGGCTATCAAAATGGAATGCAATAACTTTCCATATTTATAATACCCAATTCATTATTCAAAGCAAAATGTTTATTTAAGAATGATTATAAGACCACAGAGGACTAGAGTGGAGAGTGAAGCGTCCAGCTGATAAGAAGAGCGGGCATATGCACAAGAACACCCACACTTGCAGTTAATACCCAACTTGACCTGGCTTCAATAATTGGATGATCAGATCTCAACTGAAGAAGAAGAGGGAAAAAAGAGTAATCTGATACAATTTGATGAACTTGACCTACACCTATGGATGCAGTAGCTCAAAAGAGGGAATAAATCCTTACAGCAAGGATCATTCTCACCTCCTTGATACACAGGGTAGACAGGGATGAGCAACTTGGACATTGGCTACCCAAAATGGGGGGCTACAAAGGCAAGAAGTGACTGGCTTACAAACTTTCAAGAGGGAACCTAGATCCAGAGGGTGTGGAGGAAGGTAGAATCTCCATTGTGTAGTATATCCAATCTGTCTAGGCGGGGCTGATGAAAGAAGATGGGGATAGATCTCTTGTGATACAATAGTGAATTGTTATCAGGACTGCTTGTGAGGGTTGGAAATGTAAAGGTAGACGTTTTGTAGCAAGGAGGGGAGTGATCATCAAGGGAGAAGAGCGGAGAACAGGACCCTACCGAGTGAAGCAGGCAGAAACTATGACATGGAGAGATGGAGCAGCTGGGAACTTTAGACCCAGAGAGAGAGAAGGGCTGTGTGCTGATGACCTGGGAGCAGGTTTGTAGGGTATACCCTTTGGTCGATGATGCATGCAAGGGATTGTAACCATGGCAATGAAACGATATATGATACGATGAATGTAAAACTAATGTTCTCCCATGTAAACTATCACATAATTCACAATAAAACATTAAAAAAAAGAATGATTGTAAGAAATCTCTCTTCTGCCTATGACTGATTGGAATACCTAAAATGGGGCTACAGCGTACCCAGTGAATGAGGCTTCTTGCGGAGCCTTGGCAATACATAAAACTATAGGTAGAAACCG